CGAGTAGCCTTCACGGGTGACCGAGTAGCCTTCATGGACCCTCGAGAATAAATATACAGCTGAGCCTAGTCTCATACGAGTGTTTGCAGTCCCCCTCATCCGAACCTTCTTGTTGTTTTATCGAAGTTTTGGGACAAAGTACTCGTGTTACTTTTCGTTTCTTTCGAGATTTTCCCACGAGTTTTGAGAATTTTCTTTTATCTGAGTCTTTTTCGTTGATTTTCTCGAGTTTTCCGCTTTTCCTCGGGTTTCCTGGACGACGTTTCTTTCAGACTTCGCTTTTTGCGATGCATTTAGGCTTGCTATACTTAAGGAACATCGCTTGCTATACTTAAGGAACATTGCTATACTTAAGGGACAGCGGATCTCACAGGCATACAAGTTTGCTTTACATTTTATAGCACTTAATTTTCCCGTTTCTACCTGCTGTTATTCTTCCTGTATAGCATGTTACACTTGTCATATTCCTACCTACTACTGTACTGTAAAGCATGTTACACTTGTCATGTTTCTATCTGCTACTGTTCTTCATGTATAGCATGTTATACTGCTCTTATTTTATCTACTACTGTTCCACGTGCATTCTATTGTTTTGTTCCTGCATTGCACACTTTATATTATATAACTTCAAGCATGTTTCCTTTCTACATAGAATGTTTAGAGGACTACAACCATAGGGCCGTTTGATTTGACAATATAATTAGACACCCTAGAAAACTTAAACTCGTCGTGTCGGGGAGCTTGAAGCTAGCGCAGTGGGCAGCACGGCCATCTTCAACAGCAGAACATGTCTTCCCCAGCAAAACCATTCTTTTCCTAGAAATTAAACAATAATCCATAGGATTTCGAGGTTGCTTGCCTATCGCAACATAAATCCTTCACATTTTTCTTAGGCATTCGTATAGCTCTGCTGTACGATTTAAGCCCTAACTCGTTCTAAGTTCCGAGGTTGTCGTCCGATACGACGTAAACCCTCAAATCTTCTAGGCGATTTCTGTGACCATGTCACGCAAATATAAGCCCTAATTAAATAAAATTGGCAGGATGAAACACTTTAATAATTTCTTCTCAAAACTGGAGTCAAATCATAGGATAGACTGGGAAGTCACTGAGGTTCTCCTCTGGATCTGTGGCCTCCCCTAGTTTCTCTTCATTTGGATTCCTC